CAGCTCTCGCAGTGCTTTTGTTTGTGGCTTGCGGTGTGTGCATGACGAGTGGTTGGCATGCGAAATGTTTTTCTTTTTATCTTCACCCAGCGCGTGGCCATTGGCACTTGTTGACTGAGTACTGGTCTGTATTCTCCACTATATCTTATCTGCAGAGTTGAGAGATCCCTGCCTTGTTTTCTCTGTGTGAGTTTGACTGGAACAAGCCGCTCCCAAGATGACTTGTTCAGCTTTAGCGGCCGCGACGATTCTTCTCGCCGTTCTTCTCTGCCTGACACCAAGTAAGTTTCCACTTGCTTTTGTCGGCGTTTGCCACTACATGTAGTAAAGTACGAAAAATGTAGGCATTTTACTGCTTACAGTCTGTACTAAATAAGGAACCCCATCCTTACATTTGGCAGGGCATCCCATATACGAACATGCATTTTCTGGCCTACCTGAAACTAGCAGCAATGTACTTCGAGGTACAAGTTTGCTCATGTACAATCGTCACTTAAGAACTCTTCCTCTCCTCTCCTCCATGCGCTCTCACAATCACAATCGTCACTTAAGAACTCTTCCTCTCCTCTCCTCCATGCGCTCTCACAATCACAATCGTCATGTACATGATTATAATAAAGTCCAGACCCTCTAGACTTTGAATAACTTGTAGGTCAAATTTGGTTTAGAGATTTTTGAGAAATGTTTTCCGGATCGTGCTCAAGCAGTTCCCCCAACTTTTCTAATAGATTTCTAAGCGACGGGATAACAAAAAAATCAATTTTGGAAATTGTATGCACAAACTGATCACAGATTTGATTTGGTATAGATGCTAGCCAAGCAGTTTTTAGAAACGCACTGTCAAACAGGGAAAATTGCTAGTTTATCGGTTTTCTTTGATTTGTGTGGAAATGCACCCCCCCCCCCCTCCCCCTGCCTGTACATGTGCACATGGATTTAAGGAACGTACCAGTATGCATCAATTTTCCACCATGACGTTTTGCTGGGCAAGTCAAATACATTCATACACAATGTGATACTAGCTCTGCATAATGGGTCAAGAGCTTTCTTAGATCATCCTCGGAATAAATGTACTACTTCAAGTAGAATGGGTTGTACCCGCCAAGTATGGGGCAACTTGCCTAGCAAAAAGGTGACGGCCATCTTCGATGCATACCTCCAATCCGTTGCTTAATTCTGTTCCTGTTTGTGGGTGCGTGGCTGTGTTGGTGTCTGTGTGTGTGCATATGTCTCTTCAACTCGTCTGCATGGGAAAATAATGGACGTCGCTTTTTTGTCTCAGCCGCTCAAGGTGAGTAGTTTTTCTATTCTGCATTTTCACAATATTTTTTTGGACGATAACTTTAGTTTCCCTTGGGTAGAGTTCACAACCTTGGGCTTTTGGAAAGCTTGAGCAATGAGAAGTTCTCTAGCCTTCAACAGTCGGACGGACAAAAATCCATCTGCTATTCCATTTTTGAAGCGAAGTACGGCTCATCGACATGTTGACTATTTGTAGCCTCTTTTAAAATTTGTATTTTCATGCTAACACATCTGAATGTACTACCAGGGAAGCTTCCAGGTTACGTTTTAGGAGCATAATCATTGCCAAATAAACACAGCACAGGCACAGACACCAAACAGAATATGTACGTGTACATTAATATTTCGAAAGAAAAGGTGAAATTGGATACCCCTCCAATTTGTTTTCCTTACATTATTATTATTATTAATATAGCTATGAATAGGATGAAGGCCGCATACATCACGCAACTACTTTACTTGTTTGACATGTATTACTGCGTACTTTATCAAATATATTATTGAAAAATCCGGAATCGATTTTCTCGTTCCTATCATCAGTGGGAAAAATAACTAAATGATACAACCAAAGAAACTGTGCATTAAAACCACTAGAGGAAACGCAAAAAGGTAACAAGATTACGTAACCAAAGGCGAGAAGGCACTGAACGAAGTGTCAACCTACGAATACAACTTCAGTGCCACAATGTGCTCTTTCTGCTTACACAAAACAGGCTTATGAATACGTATACAAACGGCTTCAAGGACTTTCAAAAGTTGGACATAACGCGTACGACACAGTGCAGAAAAATGAGAGTCATCATACACACCAAGACAGTCAGGACGAGATAACAAGTGTAGATACACAGCTGACCTTTTTACGATCAACACATTCATCCGCCTCAATAATATTTTTGTTATAAAATACACAGTAATACATGTCAAACAAGTAACGAGTATTAAACAAGTATTATTATTATTTGTAAGAAAGGTTTGCTCCCCACACCGGAGCTCGCGCTATTCCGCCGACTTTACTTGACACTTGACTGACTCACGACTGCCATCCAGAGCACACGAGAAGTCCATCGAACCTTCGACTCGGCAAACCTGCAAGAAAGCACCACTCCCTGCTCAATACACAGTGTTTCGGGGAATTCACCCCTCATCAGTTGAGCTTGAGTAGGCTGAGGAAGATTGTGCCTGAAGAGCACCACTTATATAGTGCTCTCCAGGCACAAACATCACCAGGGATACAAACTTACAGAGACGCTCCGCTTCCAGCGCGATAAACACCTCGTGAACACCAGATAGCAGCGTGAGTCAGTGTCGCTCCTGGACGGTGAGACAGACGTCGAGGACCCTCGGTCATTCGCAACGCTGTCACTTCCAAACCAACTAATAGCGCGAGCTCCGGTGTGGGGAGCAAACCTTTCTTACAAATCATCGCCGAAGTCGCAACCACTACTTCCTATTATTATTAGTAGTAGTAGTAGCAGTAGAAAGGAAAAGGACATATGGAAACGAGTTAAGAGTAACTCTCCACCACTGTAACTAGATACTATATACAGTTAGAAAGTGCAACAACTAGGCACAAAACTGACAGAGTACTGAGACATTCGACGTCCTGACACCTAGCTTCAACACATCTCCGTAGCACTAACTGACGGCCTTCCAACTGGGAAGGTTCAAGGTTATGGAAAGACCAAAGAGGGGAAGTTGGGTGGTGTGCTGCTTTGCTGCTTCGAATTGTAGTTAGACCGCTTTGTCAAATCGCCTACTGGTCTCGTCATCGTACAGTGACAATCGACATTCTTTGTTCCGTTGGGACTGTAGCTTGTGCTCGTTTTCGTTGCGCTTGCCTTCCCCTCTTTGGTCTTTCCATAACCTTGAACCTTCCAACTTGGAAGGCTGTCGGTTAGCGCTACGGAGATGTGTTGAAGCTAGGTGTCAGGACGTCGAATGTCTCAGTACTCTGTCAGTTTTGTGCCTAGTTGTTGCACTTTCTTACTGTATATAGTATCTAGTTACAGTGGTGAAGAGTTACTCTTAACTCGTTTCCATATGTCCTTTTCCCTTCTACTTTTATTATTGGCTCAATACCCGAGTTTCAAATTATTATTATTATTATCATTATTCAAAGGACCAGTCGGGGAAGTGAACTGCCTGAAAAGAGAAAAAAACGCCATACCCACCAGGACTCGAACCTGGGACCATAGCTCAGTGGTTAGAGCATTGCTCATGACAAGCAGGGTCCCAGGTTCGAGTCCTGATGGGTCTGGCGTTTTTTTCTCTTTTCAGGCAGTTCACTTCCCCGACTGATCCTTTGAATATGAAGTTCTCCCAATCCTTTCCAAATTATTATTATTATTCAAGCGGTAGTTTGGAGGCGATGAAAAACAGTTTCGCGATCAGTACTGTCGCATGCAACACCGCCCATCCACAAAATCCAGTAGTCACTTCCTCTTATCAAACAGGTGCGTTCTTTCCACACATGCCCTGGCCACGTCTTCAGTCCCAACTTTTGTTTTTTTATTATATTGAATTTGGCAGGCGGCTCATATTGTTTGGGAAACGAGGAATGTACCGGAAATAACATATACCCAAGATGACTGCCTGCAGTGCACCGGTGATCATTTACGCATTATCAAAATCGCTGCGCAGGCCCAAATTGCAATTTCACGACATATTTTACCTTCAGATTATCACAACTTCACCATTGGCCGATTCCATGATCTTGCGCTTCTTGGAAAGGTCCGTCAGCGACGAATGCACAGAGCCCACATTCGACATCTATAAAGCCACAAGTCGAGCGCCCCCACTTGCCAAACTTGCCCAAGCGCCAGATCTGCGGGCAGAATCCAAATTGTCTTGCCATTTCACTCTCCCCCATCGCTGGACTTTGAATTTTTGTGTACAGAACATGTCATGTAAAAAAGAAAAATCTGACTTTGAAATGTTCCCGAACGCAGAAAAATTGCAATTGCCGTGATTTTACTTTCGGCGGACGATATCGTTGCAAGAGAGTGTCGTAGCTCTTCGGCGATTGTTCGAGACAGTGTTTTCTATTGTATGGCGATAGACCCTTCGAATCCTTCAGTAGTCATTCACCATTAGTCTTCACCATGCGGCCTTTCGGTGTTCTTTTGCAATGAATAATAACAGTGTAGTATGAGTAGTTTTCCTGTGGATTCCCGGTGGATTTTAGAATTGAGATGTGGTAGACGCATCAATTGGTGACTCCTTGCAACGAACTATCTCTCTCTCTCTCTCTCTCTCTCTCTCTCTCTCTCTCTCTCTCTCTCTCTATACCTCTCTCTCTACCTATCCCTGTCTCTGTACCTATCTCTCTCTCCCTCTCTCTCTCTCTCTCGCTCTCTCTCTCTCCCTCTCTCTTTCTTTCTCTCTCTCTCTCTCTCTCTTCTATCTCGCACCCTCTCTCTCTCCCTTGCTCTCTCTCTCTTTCTCTCTCTCTTTCCCTCCCTCCCTCCCTCTCTTTCTCTCTCTCTCTCTCTCTCTCTCTCTCTCTCTCCCTCTCTCCCTCTCTCGCTCTCGCTCTCTCTCTCTCTCTCTCTCTCTCTCAGTTTCAAAACTTAGAACTGTTTTTGAAGAACTAGAAAGTGTGTTGTGTCGGGGTTCCGAAATTCCAAAACTCGCTCGCTCTCTCTCTCTCTCTGTCCACAATAAGACATTGTTGTTCATGCCTTGGTGTTTACCCCTGTCCAGAACTTAATGAATGCGAAAAACTGAATTTTACATGCAGCAGTGATGCTCACTGTACTAATCAGACTGGGACATTCTCATGTGTTTGCAAGCCTGGATTTACTGGAGATGGATTTTCCTGTACAGGTACGTTCTTTCCACACATGCCCTGGCCACGTCTTCAGTCCCAACTTTTGTCTTTTTTTATATTGAATTTGGCAGGCGGCTCATATTGTTTGGGAAACGAGGAATGTACCGGAAATAACATATACCCAAGATGACTGCCTGCAGTGCACCGGTGATCATTTACGCATTATCAAAATCGCTGCGCAGGCCCAAATTGCAATTTCACGACATATTTTACTTTCAAATTATCACAACTTCACCATTGGCCGATTCCATGATCTTGCGCTTCTTGGAAAGGTCCGTCAGCGACGAATGCACAGAGCCCACATTCGACATCTATAAAGCCACAAGTCGAGCGCCCCCACTTGCCAAACTTGCCCCAGCGCCAGATCTGCGGGCAGAATCCAAATTGTCTTGCCATTTCACTCTCCCCCATCGCTGGACTTTGAATTTTTTGTGTACAGAACATGTCATGTAAAAAAGAAAAATCTGACTTTGAAATGTTCCCGAACGCAGAAAAATTGCAATTTCCGTGATTTTACTTTCGGCGGACGATATCGTTGCAAGGGAGTGTCGTAGCTCTTCGGCGATTGTTCGAGACGCTGTTTTCTTTTAAATGGCGATAGACCCTTCGATCGTGAAATTTGGTCAAGAAATGACTGAGATATGATGGATTTACTGATCGAAGGATAGTCGTAGATATTTGGCTGGTCGGACGGATAAGGGTTAAAGGGGCACTCCGAGAATTTTTTTCTATTGTGTGTTCTCTTCATGGGGGCCTTATATGGCCCCCAAGAGATAGGAAATCGCGGAAACTAGACCCCAAAAGTCGATATAAGAAGCCAGGGAGGGCCAAGTTTGTCTCCTCTTTTGATGGTTTTTTTTTTTTTTTTTTTCTACAAAATCCACATATCTCCAGACACTGGGGTGAATGATGGAGTGTGGTGGTGGGGCCCATTAAGCTCCGCCGACCAGAGGTCTCGGCTTCACAGCTCCATGGACGCACCAAAGGGATATTGGGTGGGGAGGATTAAATTGTAAAAGAAAACAGAAGAAAGAAAATGGAAAGATTGTATTGCTCAGTGAGCAAAAGAATAAGTTGAATATTGATGTGAACGCTGTTAGACTTTTAAATTCAAGAGGAGACTGTCCGTGAGGAGAGATTACATGTATGTCCAAGCAGGGTAGGACACTGTACCCTCTTACTCGCGTATGCTATGAGTGGCCCAGTGCCAGTTCGTTCTGAGGAGATGGTGATAAGCTGCTGTCTTGAACTTTTGGATGTTCTTTGGGTGAAATGGGTGGGGAATGATAGAGGTAGGCAGCTGGTTCCAAATTGGGATGACGGAGTGGGGAAAGGCTCGGATCACATTGTTCCGGGAATTGGCAGGAAGAACATTCTGTAACTGATGGGGATGCGCGGTGGACAGTCGTACAGCCTGGCGGGTGAGGCGTGTGGTCCTGGGTTGGTGTGTCGGGGGTGGAGCCATTCTCGAGAGAAGAGCGGGAGAATTATCGCAAAGGGCTTTATACAGGAGGCAGAGGGCATCGATGGTGCGGCGAATTATGAGGCTAGGAAGCCAGCATTGCGGATGTATTGCCTTGATGGCTCGCTCCTGCACCCAGTCCAGCCGATTCAAGTGGGAAGGAGCTGCCCCCATCCAGACGATTGGGCAGTACTCCATAACCGGCCGGACAAAGGCTTTGTAGGCTCGAAGCCGGGCAGGAATAGTCAGCAAGTGAAATGCCTTGCGCAAGGCTCCAAGTCTCTGCGTTGCTCGGACTACAACAGTTCGGATATGCTGGCTGAATTTTAGCTGATGGTCAAACGTGACGCCGAGTACTTTGATGGAGGGCTGCTCCTCGACAGGAGTTCCATTGAAGACAATGGGGGGTATTGGCCAGTCCCGACGATGGTGGGAAATTGTAAGGGCCTGAGATTTGGCTGGCTCGAACTGCACTTTCCAATCCGAGCCCCAACTGGATACTAGGTCGACAGCAGCCTGGAGTACTCTAGCGTTGTCAGGAACAGCAGCGAGCGTTGCAATTTCGGCGTATAGGGTTGTGTCATCGGCTAATGAGGCAAGGTTGGAGCCGATTGGGAGGTGGTCTTCAAGGTCGTTGACGTAGACCAAGAATAAGGTGGGCCCCAGGATACTGCCCTGTGGCACCCCAGCCTTAACTGGGCGTCTGGCTGATGTCTGGCCGGAGATGAGGACTTGAAGTGTGCGGTTGCAGAGGTAGTCTTGGAGCCACCGATGCAGGTCTCCCGAGATGCCATACACTCTAGCCTTGTGCAACACACCAGTGTGAGACACCCGGTCAAATGCTCCAGCAATGTCGATGGCCAGCACTCGAGAAGCTCCTTTATCTCCGGCGGTGTGCACCCACTGGTGGTGGAGAGCAGTCAGCAGGTCTGCTGCACTGTGGCCGCGACGGAATCCAAATTGCCGTTCTGACAGGACGTGATTCGTCTCCATGAAGTTGCTCATTGCCCTGTTGACTATGGTCTCCATGACCTTGGAGAGGATGCTCAGTAACGACACTGGTCGATAGTTTGATGGCGACGATTTAGACTTGCGCTTGTGGACTGGAACTACGTTTGCAACCTTCCACTGTTGTGGCTGGATACCGGAGCGAAGACAGCATGTAAATAGTTTTGAAAGCGGCCGTGCCAATTCTGCAGCGCAAGCTTTCAAGAGCTTTTAATGAAGTCACGAGGCGGATGACGGTGAGACGATGACGGTGAGACGGCTGGTGGTGATGGTGATAAAACGGACGAGGAGGAGTCAGGTGGCAGGGAAGGTGATGGAGCTGATGAGGGTGAAATTCGTAAGAAGTCAGCTGTGTATTTGCATTTGTTATCTCGTCCCGATTGTTTGAGTGTGTATGATGATTCCCACTTCTCTGTACTGTGTCGTGCCCGTTATGTCCAGCAGTTGAAGGTCCTTGAAGCTGTTTGTATTCGTACGCATAAGCCCGATTTGTGTAAGCAAAAAGAACATGTTTTAGCACTTAGGTTATTTTCGTGAGTTTGCACCCCGTGTTCATGAGTTGTTTCTGCACTGTTCATGCCCGTTTGTCACACTTACTCTTTATTTTAGTTCTCACTTTTTGTAAAACTTACCACAAGTTACCCGTCATGTGTCACACTTCTTTGGATTTTTAACCTTTGTTTTTCCCTTGATCTCTTTAGTTCCGTATTTCCACTGATGATCGGAACGTGAAAATCGATTTTGGAAACACACAAAACCAAACCTTGAACAAATTGTCATGTTGCGTGGTGATGTCTGCGGCATTCATACTTTTCATTGCTATTATTAAACTTTTATCTCCACGTAGATTATTTCACGTGTGATTAGTATTCAAATTCTTTGCATTTGAAGATCTTAGTTCTTTGAATTTCTGGTGATGAAAAACAATGTTTGGTCAACATTCCCAAGCTTTGCAACTGCGACCATACTCTAAGGAACATGGAGGACCTCCTGAGGTGCCCCTGGTAGAAGCGCAGCCTGGTGAGGGCCAGAAAATTGGAGCGGACGACTTCACTGGTCGACAATCAAATAAAGATTGGTGTTTCTGCCAAAAATGTGGGGTGATGTAGAGGGCAGTCGATTACCTTCACTGTCGAGAGAGCGCTGCAGCTGTTAGCATTGGCAGCCCTTTGACATGCGTTACACATCACCCCGACTTCGCGTCGGCTTGTCTTAACAAAACTGTTCTGACCATATGCCTCACGGCGTATAGAGAATTTCGAGATCCTCGAACTCGGACCAGTGAAGTCGTCCGCTCCAATCTCCTGCCGCTGTATAGTGCTTGCTAATTGAGGACGTAGCTCGCTGTTTTATCAGCGCTTGCAATTGGGCTATTTTCAAGACGATCATTTGTGGCGTCAAGGGATGATTGCCCTCGTCATCTGGGATGCTGGCGTGGCTAAGTGGTGCTGCCCCAAGAAGTCTTCTAAGGTGAGGTAATGTTGGCTTGATGGAGTTTTGTTCGTAGCTTGTTTTTGTACGCTGTGCCGTGGCTCGTTTGTAGACTCATAAATCGTGCCAATATTGGGCCAATATTGAGGGGTATGCCAATTTCATGGTTCCCTTCAAAAGGTTTTGCGCGGGCTTTGGAATGTCGATCTACACCCCAAAGCAAACCTACCTGCAAAATTTGAGCGAAATCTGAGAGACCTACTTGCACATATGTTCTGGTTTTCTCAGACATGCTCTCTTTTAAAAGTCACACAAGTCATATGTGTGTGTGCACATGTGCAGGTGGGGTTGGGAGTAGTGTTGATTTTACACTATTACAGCGACCTCACCCGGAGTCCCGAGCTGCTGAGAATGCAACCCAAATCGCGCGAAGTTTGAAATCGTGGTCATGTGGCAGGTTTGAGGACTTCCTGGACGAAGCAAGATGTATTCAAGCACACCTACCCGCTGGAAACCGTCGCCAGAAACTGCCTGATACAGTGAATGATACAACCTTCAGTCGACAAGTATTCACAGGGAAGATTAACTCTGCAGCGCGGATCGTGGGTGATGACTCACCTGGCTCAGTGCTCGGGATGGAGGACTCGGCTGGTGGTGACAAGACTGTGCGTGAGGTACTGTATGACAAGCACCCGTCATCTTCACTGGCGGTTCCTGGCTCATTGGTGGTGCCAGCCGACTCACAGCGGGTGAACCCAATACTCTTCGAGCGCATCACGCCAAGCCTCATCAAGTTTGTTAGCAGGTCCATGAAGGCGACGCTGGTCCGTCCGGATTAGACTTGGAGGCCTGGACCAGGATGCTAACGTGCTTCGGCCCAGCTTCCAACCGACATTGCATTGCATTGGCGGATTCGGCACACGTATTGTGTACTGCGAATATCGAGCCGAGTTTCATGGAGGCATTCACTGCCGCCCGCCTGATCCCCATTGATAAAACCCCAGGGGTTAGACCCAAAGCTGTTGGGGAGGAGATTATAGGGCGAGCTATAATGAAGGTTATTGAAAGTCTTCCTGAAACCGAAGCCGTGCTGCTGATAGATGCCGTGCCGCCTCTTCGTAGCGGATGGGGGCGAATTTCTTTCCCATGAGGGGATCTGCCAGGGCGACCCCTTTGCGATGGCCATTTACACTGTTGCTGTTATGCCTCTTATAAACAAACTTTCACACGAATGTCCAAGCACCACCCAGCTGTGGTACGCTGATGATGATTCCGCTGCTGGCACCCTTCAAGCCACATCCCTTTACTGGTCTGGTCTAAGTTATTGCAGCTGGGACCCGACTATGGGTACCACCCCAATCCGGAAAAAAAACCACAGTTCTTCTGGTGAAGCCATCTCTCGAGCACGCAGCGCAGGAAATATTCGCTGGGACTGGGGTGAGAATTGTTACAGATGGTTGCATTTACTTGGTCCGGCTCATCGCAATTGTCGCTTATCCCTCCCCCCCCCCGCACTTTTTGACAGGTAAAACCCAGTCCAATCACGATATCTAAGGCTGTGTTTACATGAGAAATTTCAACCCAGGTCGAGTTCAGCCCAGGTTGAAAGTCTGTACGATAGACAAAAGAGGTGAGCGTTTACATGAAGACAGTTGAAGACAGTTGAAGTTCAAACCTGGCGCGAGATACGCACAGAAGTACGTTTGTACGATTTTCTTGACCCGGGTTGATTTCCTTGGGGGGAGGGTTGAAATCAACCCGGGTCGAAATTTCAACCCGGGTCAAGCGCAATTGCGTCATGTAAACGCGCCATTCAATTTATGCACATGGCGGGTTCAAATCTGACCCGGGTCGAACTCAACCCGGGTTGAAACGCCTCATGTAAACACCGCCTAACTTACTTTTGCTCGGGAGATCTTGATGGCAAGATCAAAGGAGGCACCAAAGAAAAATGATCGCGATTAGCGCTTTGAATCGTGGTGTATTCGATTTTTTTGGGAAGTGGGAATCTGGCCATTCACTGTCTGTGTTGCCAAAAGCCAAGCGCAGCGACCCGAAGACCGGAACTGTAGCAGGGGCAACTGACATCCTGGCCTGGAGAGCGTGACAGGCACGCGTGCATGCGCAGTGCTAGTTTTGGTCTGGGAGTGAGAGTCATGTGTGATTCGTCCGTGGTCTGGTTGTCTTGGTCTAAGTCATGTACTCTGTATGCATTGGTCGCTGAATGGTCATCCTGATTTGGCGTCACTTTATCATTGCTTGTTCTTTGAAGTTTCTTCGTGTCTTCTCCCTTCACCTTTTTGTTTGGGTCTTGCATTTCCTTTCTCCTCCTGCACCCTCGTCGTTTATTGTCTATATAAGAAATGATATGGAAGGAGACGCACAATCAAGAGTTTGCGTTGCTGTACGGCGGTTGCCTGGATGAGAAGGTAACAACACACCAGTTGTGGTTCAACTATGCTTATACTGCAGATATTGATGAATGCGCTGGGCCCACGAGCGGCAACTGCAGTCTGACATCAACGTCATGCTCCAACACTCCCGGCTCCTTCGCGTGCTGTAGTCCTGGCTACCAACCATTCCAATCAGCTTGCGCCAGTAAGTAGCTACAGTCCATTCATTGGAAGCTGGCACCCTAAGGGCCTGGTCAGACTGCGGCAAATGTTGGTTGCCTGACGAAAACGGAAAAGCGTCCAGAATTTGAATCGCGATCACACTACACATGTGAGGAGAATGAAAATTCAAACTTCATTTCGAGCGTCAAGTGGTAATCTCCACGAACGACGTCAAATTCTTTCACCTTGGGGATCGCCAACACCTTCAGTGCAATCCTTGCAACCATCCTTAATAAAAAAAGTTATGAGTTTTGTTGTTGTCCGTGGCCAATAAGCAACTCGATATCGAGATGAAAAAATCAGTGATTATCAGCGTCAATGGCGTATCAGCGCCAAATCCTGTTTGGAGCGGAAAAGCGTGGTCCGTTCTAGCTTTTTTTTTGGAGCGTCAACTCTCGCTTTTGCCGCTCTGGTGGCAAGTTACTATGGAGATTCGGATTATAATCCCAGGATTATTTCGATTTTGCCGCAGTCTGACCAGGCCCTAACTTTTTGGTGTCTCTCTCACGTAGTTGTAGATATCGTGAAAACAACAATACATCCTGCATTGTGTGACCCGTGCAATTACTCCTTGCCACATTTGAGGCCAGAAAAGTCCAAGAACAGGGAAATAGAAATTCAGCCAGGTTTTACAAAATTCGGACAGGTATGCCATGGCAAAATGTATGGAGAAGCAGATCCAAAACCCAAATTTTTGAGATTTAAAGTGAGTTTTTGATCCTCAATTCGACCCAAATCCGACTTTCAAAAGCCAGCGGGACAGTTTCCGATGAATGGACTGTAGTACCCTTGGACATCTCTTATTCGGGCACCTTGGAACTGGGCACTGCCCTATATCAGATTTTCCTGCACGTCAGGATAATCCCACCTGCCGTGCATCATACTACTGCAAGCTTTGATGAAGTTGGCATGTATTGCACTTGTCCCAGATTTAAAAAAGAATCCATCGATTTTGAATGTGTGAACTGCAGAGATTGGCAAGGACAAGACATTTAAAAAGGAGCATGTGCATGCACGCCATTGAGGAAAAATTCGAGAACAGTGCACTTTTTGTCATAGCAACTCAAGTTGAAGGTGGCAGGTGCAGAGACTTGCCAACATCTGAGTAGTCCAGATAAGAGATGTTTGAGTGTAATTACCACGGGAAATTGTAGTGATTCCCAAACCTACCTGCTGAATTAACGTATTGTCCGGGTGTAATAAATAATTTCACAGTCTGAGTGAGACTCTGCTGGGAAGCCGAGTTTTCCGGGCATAGCGGCTTCATTCGTACTTTAATTACCAGGGGAAATTGTAGCGATTTCCAAGCCTTCCTGCTTTTAAAACATATTGTCTGGGCGTGGTGGCTTCACTCTAGCCTTTATCTGCCATGACTGGCTTCATCGCTACGGTCCTTTAAACCAGCGCCTACTCCAGAGCCGGGTCAGCCGTTTCGGCGACCCAGTTGGGGTTGGGACCGCATGGGAAAAGAACACCGGGGGTCAATTGTGACCCGGTTGGGACCCAGTCAGGGCGTTCTAATGCTCCCTGATGTACAATAGCCGCACTTGAGTCTTGTACCCGGTACTGACTCGGTTGCAAGAGTTGTGCCAGGTAGATCTACACGTGTACCCGATTGGTTTGAAATCCTAGAGCAGACACTGTAATGAGGATGTGTGGAAAACAATGAACAGGTCTACCCGTTTTTTTTACCAAAATACCAAAACATTAAAAATGCGAAAATTTGCACGAAAAAAGTATATTTTATACTACTACTAGTTGTGGTTGATAAATATGGTGGTAAAGACACACCTGGCAATATGGCAGTAAACACACGCCTGCCCACACACGCTCTCTAGGCTGCAAAGTTCTGGCACAGAGCTCTCCTTCTCACCACCACCACCATCAGTTCGCGCCTGGCGCCTAGTCGATGCATGGTTGGTGGTATCCGACATAGCAGGCTGGCACATCAAGTAGCGCATGGCACATAGAAGATGAAACAGCAACGACATTTCGTCCTCGCTGGACTTATCAGGAAATCACCATATTAATCAACCACAAGTACAGCTGCAGTGGTGTCTTCAGCTTCATTCTACTACTAATTTTACTTGAAAAATTCACTCGAAACGAAAGCAGAACGGTAGCCAAAAAATATTGTGTGCGAAAATAGGAAAAAAATAACTACCCTCGTTAGTGGACAACAACGAGGGTTTCAGATTGTTTATCTTATAACGAGTACTATCTACTGCCCGGACGTGAATGTACGTGTTTCAGGTGTCAGTGGATTTTGACCATTGTCTGCTACTGAGTTTGGTCTTGTAACCAATGTCGTACTAACAAGGGTACAGCTGTAGCAACAAATGTTGGTACTCGCTCCATTGCTCACTCTTGCGGTCTTGTTCTTGCACACTAGCACGCCGTAGATAGAATCCTGTAGAGTTTGCATATTTTTAGTACATTCCCAATGTGCTTCTCCATATCATAACATCCTATCTACTTGCTCTAGAAATGAAGTCTGGCGCCCGTGGAGAGCTTTGGCTACAGTCCATTCATAGGAAAGTGGTACCCTATTATTTTAGTGGGACTCCAGTTACACCACATATACCGTAAAGTCTGGTATAAAAGCCGCCCTCGAATAGAAGCCGCAATTTTGGGCCCATCAAATCACACATAAGCCTGGTTTTAGTGTTGACATACATAGAGATACCTGTCTTGTATAGAAGCCTGTCTCATATAGAAGCCTGCAACATTTCACCAAGAAAGTCATAGAAGCCGCGGCTGTTATACAAGACTTTACGGTACTGTCAAGTGAGAAGCTTTCGCTATAGATAAAATTTCACTATTTTCGCGACCATCACACATTGGTGAATATAAATCGCCGCAAACTGCTCTGTACATTGATTGTAGACTGTAACAGATCCAAATGAAGAGATAAAATTGCCAAAGTTTCTCATCGTGAACCAGCCCAATTCATGAAAACGCAAACTTTGCGCACCGCGAAAGTTAATCGCTTCACAGTGCGTGCACTTATAGCTATCATGAAAACAACAGTTCATCCTGCATTGCGTGGAACGTGCAATTATTCCTAACCGAATCTGATACCAGAAAAGTCAAAGGACACAGGGAATTAGAACATCGGCCTGGTTTTACCAAAATTTCGACAGGTACTCCATGGCAAAATGTGTGGAGAAGCGGATTCAAAACCCGGATTTTTGTGCCTCGATTCTGTCAAAATTGGGCTTTCAAGAGCCAACGAGACTGGCTCAGGTGAATGGACTGTTGCGCCGTTGATCCCGAAAGCAGATCTTATGTACATTTCACCTGATACTTGTCCAAGTCAACGTGTGGTGCTCTTTAACCAAGCATCACCCTTTAACCCAAGCATCACCCATCTTCAAGTTTACTCATGGATTTACCAACGATGTCATGGCTTTACCAACGGTGTGCACATTCTACTTTTGTGTACTGTCGTTCTGCAGGAGAGTACGGAGGCAATCTTCTCATACTTGATCCAGTCAATTATCCGGCAATGAGTTTTTCCAGGGCCGCTTCATTATGTTCTCAGCTAGGGTTAGCGATACCAAGTAGAACGAAGGAAAAAGATATGATTGTCCAGGCAGCCAAGAATTCGAATATCAGTGACTTTGTGTGGTTCCGGATGTTTGCCAAGCCATTCGGGCTGAGACGGGTATTCCTTGACCAAGGTACTGCGTCCCGCGAAGATTTGCATAATGTTGCCTGTGCAAGTAAGTATGGCGTGCTATGCTCCAATGCTATGTGTTATATTCTACATGTGTGCTGGCAGGTGATTTAACCATGTTCGAATAGAGCTCAGGCGTATAGCTCCTGCAGAGCCAACAGTCTGGTCAAGGCACCAGCAAATGGCAGTCATCCAGTGCTGCTCAATGAAATCCAGTCATGTCACTCAAATGTGCACCTTCTTCTGCAGCCCAGTGTTGGCAGGTCTACAGTCCATTTCAAAACTACAGACGCGTAGGGTTTTTGAAATATTTGGCTGGACCTTTTGAGAATAGTTTTCGGAATATTGCTCAGGACCGCTCCACAATTACTCTCCTATAGTTTCTAAACGATTGGATAACAGACGCCTAATTTGGAGAAATGTATGCACAAAGTGATCACAGATTTTATGTGGTATAGATGCTGGCATAACGGTTTTTGCCTAGGTACGCGTATAGTTTTGAAATGGACTGTAGGGCTGGGCAACGCCCCGGCGCGTACCTGAGTGCCACGGCTGGATTTCATTCAGCAGTGCTGTAGCACAGCAGTCAGACCTCGCTTATCCGGTCCTCTTTTATCCGGATCCCTCGCCATCAGGAAGAAAATCGTTGGTTACCGATTTACAGCATATACCATGCATGAATACATACAGCATGTGTGTTCGATTATCCTGTTCCCTCGCCTATCTGTATATTTATGTGGAAAACGGATGGCTAGGCTCATTCTATGAGTAGGCAAATATTTGGTAGCAATGTGTTAGGAAAAGTTCATGTTTCCCGGATCACACAACATCGCATACAACAAATACTTCCTCCGCGTCATCAAAATTGTCGCAGTTTGACTAGTGACTTGTCACTTGTTACTGACAACTCCATAAGAAAAGCCATTCAAAACTTATTACACAGTATGATAGTCTGAAGACCAGAGTAACGTTCCAGGGCAGTTGGACTGAGAGTTTTCATGCAGAGATGAAAGTCCTCGTCGTCGCTGGTGTCAATGGACGCAAAAATATCGTTCCGAAATATTTCAAGGAAGGTTGAAAGTTGGTCGCGCCTCATCTCAAACACTTTGACTTTCTCCACAGGACAAGAGCTGCTATGCTTGTCGTCTGCTAGCTCTGGATGATTTCTACTTCACCACCAACGAAGCCCAGTAAGAATACACGTATGTTGCGAGGTCGGTTGATTACCGTCGGCGGAATCACCTCAATCTTGAAATGACCTTTTTTAGCAGTGGCTTGCCCATTTATTTTAGCTGTGTGGTCACAGCTCATGCAGCCTGGTAAGTGTACTATCACGTCCAGCGCGCCCTCTTTTTCAGCATCACTGGTATACCATGGTTCGGCGCCTGCGCGTGCATCACTACAGGCTACAGCACTACGTGTAGAGTCTACACGGCTCTTGCAGGTACAATCATGTACTGAGTGTCACAGCCAGAGCGACAAATTATTTTATCACTGTTGCAGGCATTTAGTTTGCTGACCCCTGGATGTTTCTCCAAGCGCTGCCACTTGTTCCACGAAGGCAATCTCACCCCAGCTAAGGTGAAACAGTGATGAGGCTTGAGTGAATGGCCATAAGCATGAGAAATGTGCAGGCTAACACGCCTGACTGATCTCAGCGAGTCGAAATTACCATCGCAGCGACATCAGCGAAGAAATTGCGTCTGGTTCAAAAATTCCAGCTTCGAATAACAGAAAATAGAACTTTGCCGTCACCCTATACTGATGACTTTGTCCGATTCCTTGCCTCTGGTACGAGTGCTGGTGAGTAAATACACCGTTTTATACCAAAAGCCAAACTGCGACAATTTCGATGACGCGGAGGAAGTACAACAGTGGTATTAGATGTTTGCACTTGACCCTACAAGATCACACAACACTTGAAGATTTCAGCAGCGAAACACGTCAGGCGAAATTACTGGTCAGTCGGCGACACGCATTTTTCACAAAAATTTGCGTTTCACCTGCTGGGAGAGTATGCGTGTACTCGAGTCTCATCCTGAGCACGTTTTTTTCTTCCTTTTTTCAGCTCCAGTATAGCTGTATTTTTCATTGCAAAGCCGTCCTCGATTGTTGTGTTCGTTGTTTAAATGAACTGGACATTCAATCATGAAGGCAGAGGACATAGGAGCCTGATCGGAGTTTCTCGTGGCATAGGACGGCCACACAGAGACACTTTGGGATTTTCTGAATATAAAATACCGTACGCACGATGCTGAGATCAATTTGTGCGATATCAAATTGTTTGTGATCTACCACATCGAGCAGAACGGGATCCAAACACAAGCTTACCGACGGTTAGGCTGCCGACCTGACTGGACAAATGATCCCTGGCTTCACCAGACGCCAGAAGTCGGACACCATGTCCTTTGCCGCAACGTCCATCTCCAAAAAGAACTCCATCTTCGTCGTGAAAAGGCTTAAAATACTCAATATTCGACCGAGATTCGCGGACTTGCGCTTTCTCGGATCGATTAATTTCCTGTTGGAACAGTTGCAGGGCCGCTTTCCGCCACTGTTTCAACAGGCAATGGCTCCAAAGCATGCCTGGAACAAGCCATATCGAGGTTGCAAGCCACCCCCCTCAACAACAAACAAGAAGAAATTCGAAATTTCAATGGTGGAAGATATACTATGAAGAGAATTTCAAAAAGTATATTTCGCGGAGCGATCGCTCAACCTACGTCATTCAAACTTTGCAGGATGGTTCAGACGTACATGCTAGGCATGGAACCACAGGCGATGATGCCATAGTTGACACACAGAGTAACACACACAGCAGATTCGTGTGCACAGATACTAAATTAGTGGACGTCGTCATCTTCTTCTCGCTGATCTCGAATGTACTATGACGTGCTATTTCGCCTGACGGTTCACCAGAAACACTCCACTATTGCAAGTAGTTCCTGTCATCCTTTGGAACAAAGCGAGACTTGACAGGAGTACAGAGACGTGCTGCATACCGTACGTGTCAAGTCAATACATAATGACGTCCGAAGTACAGAGTAGTATGTACATCCTTGCCCTGAATGCTATCGTCCGGGACATTTGCATTGCAACAAGCTGATCACAGCCATAAACGGTCCATGCTTGCCTGCACAGCTGTAGAACTGTAACAGTACAGTCGTCCCTCTTTAATGCATCACTTTACAAACCAGCACCCTCACCTTCTAACCACCACAATTTTCAGTAGCCAAAAATTAGGGGCGAAACAAGTATATCGAATACTCGAGCGCTCGCTCGCAAATTTGAAACGAGCCAGTACTCGTTTACTTCGAAGTATCCTATATACAGTGTATTGTACTTCCTCCGCGTCATCGAAATTGTCGCAGTTTGACCAGTGACTTGTCACTTGTTACTGACAACTCCATAAGCTAAACCATTCAAAACTTATTACACAGGATGATAGTCTGAAGACTAGAGTAACGTTCCAGGACAGTTGGACTGAAAGTTTTCATGCAGAGATGAAGTCCTCGTCGTCGCTGATGTCAATGGACGCAAAAATATCGTTCCGAAATATTTCAAGGAAGGTTGAAAGTCGGTCGCACCTCATCTCAAACGCTTTGACTTTCTCCACAGGACAAGAGCTGCTATGCTTGTCGTCTGCTAGCTCTGGATGATTTCTACTTCACCACCAACGAAGCCTAGTAAGAATACACGATCGTTGCGAGGTCGGTTGATTACCGTCGGCGGTATCACCTCGATCTTGAAATGAACTTTTTTTAGCCGTGGCATGACCATTTATTTTAGCTGTGTGGTCACAGCTGATGCAGGTAAGTGTTCTATCATGTCCAGCGCGCCCTCTTTTTCAGCATCACTGGTACGGCACCTGCGCGTGCATCACTAGCACTACGTTTAGAGTCTACACGGCTCTTGCAGGTACAATCATGTATTGAATGTCTCAGCCAGAGCAACAAATTTTATCACTGTTGCATGCATTTAGTTTGCTGACCCCTCGATGTTTCACCAAGCGCTGCCACCCGTTCCACGAAGTCATTCTCACCCCAGCTAAGGTAAAACAGTGATGAGGCTTGAGTGAATGGCCATAAGCACGAGAAATGTGCAGGCTGCAACGCCTGACTAATCTCAGCGAGTCGAAATTACCATCGCAGCAACATCAGCGAAGAAATTGCGTCTAGTTCAAAAATTTCAGCTTCCAATAACAGAAAATAGAACTTTGCCGTCACCCATTACTGATGACTATCGCCTATGTCCGATTCCTTGCCTCTGGTACGAGTGCTGGTGAGTAAATACCCCGTTTTATATCAAAAGTCAAACTGCGACAATTTCGATGACGCGGAGGAAGTATACTAGTAACAATCTGGAGGATAAAAAACATCATTATCAGCTCGAAATTAAGTCTACTCAATGCTATTGTTTTATCCATATTCCTTTATGCTTGCCAGTCAGGACAGGACAGGACAGGCGTGTGTGGGGGGAGGGGGGATGTGCGTGTGTGTGTGTGTGCATGCGTGCGCGTGCGTGCGCAAGGTATGTGTTCTTTGAACAATAGAGGATATGCAATTCCATCATCAATATGTGGTGAAGTCACGGACTCGTTGCACATCACTGCACCCCCACCCCCCTTCCCCTGGCACTAGCTACTCACCTTGCATATTTTGCACCCAGTAGAGAATTCACTTAGCCCCCATTAAAAAATCCGCCATTAAATCATCTGCATTCAACCGCTATAGGTGGGACACCACCCCCGGTAAGCGGACACAAAACGGGGCGCTCTCGCGGCACTTTAAGGCGCGGGTCGAACTAAACTCTGCTGCACTCTCTCTCTCTGCTCTCCTGTTGCAGGATATACTGGATGCGCATCTAGTTGTGGCCAGAATGAACACTGCTCCCAGGACGGGTCGTGTGAATGTACTTTGCCCTACTATAGAGCTGGCGGCGGGTTGTGCCAACGTAAGGTTTAGTGCTTCCCTGCCTCGATGACATTTTGCCAAAGCATATTTTAATTTAATATCGTATCACGGCTTGTGTTATCATACTGGTGTTGTTACATGTTCTTGTTCTTTCAGACCTACAGTAAAACCTGTAACTAAAGACCATCCTGGCTAGCGACCAGCCTGCTACTACAGGCCACTTCGCCAGGCACGGACAGCGTCACATTCATAATTATACAGCATTATGGTTGCGTGGTGCAAACCTCTAACTAAGGACCACCTGCGAATATTCGAATGTTCGGTATATTCGTTTCACCCCTACCGAAAGTTAGTTCGTGCCCGAAAGTCAGTACCCGCCCGAAAGTTAGTACGGGTGGGGTCACTAAATTCGAAAGTAAATACGAACCTATTTACGGATTTTTACGGTACCAGCTGAAGCATCATTTCACGAAGAATTTTGTCCGTGGCCACTTTCTCTAGAATCTCTTCATGCCATCTCAATGTAACGTTCGTGAAATGATGCTTCAGCCAGTTCTGTTTATTCCCGTACCTAAACAGAAGACGATACTTCAGTAACGTCTGGCGCTAGCCAGGGTCCACACAGCTTTAATTCCCGTAGCTATGCAGAATACGTTACTTCAGTAACGTCTGGCGCTAGCCAGGGTCCACACAGCTTTAATTTGGTATTTGTGTGTTTGTTTGTTTGTTTGCGTCACGCCTGGCGTTATCCCGTATCTGTCCCGTGTCGTACAATCAAACACAGCTGGCCACATACAGCTGGCCGCAATATTCAAATAGGGCTTTCAAACGCAAGATCATAACGTGAAGCAACTTGGAAGAATGGGTATGAATGCGAAGTGTATGGGGGAATGCATGTAGGGCGATAGTGCGGGTTCAAATCCCAGGATATGCCTGAAAAAAAAAGAGAATTTAAAATTTATAACATCCCTATGCTTTTTTTGCCATCATCAAGACGGTTGTTGTGAACCCTCTAAGATTCTCTAAATTGTCAGGATCGTACGACCACACGGCACGAGGACAACTCTTTTCCTTTACACAGTATATTTCACTTCATCGAATAATTAACAATGAACACTAATAACACCAGCTATTTATAGCATGCAAAAACAGCGTACATGCAAAACATAGTTAACATACGCATATAAAACTGGACATACAAGCGTATACAGCAAAAACGCACACAGCGCATATAGTGTGTGCCATGCAGCAACATCAGCGATACGGCGGAGTCGAAATACAACATTGCAACGAATACAATGCCATAAGCGCGAAGGCCTTTACCAATTGAGAACTGGTGGTTTGCAACATTCTCCCCACCAAAGGGCTTCTCACCGCCGTACAACAATGCACACAAGTCAAAAACGATCCGGGGCTCTGACTGTGCGCCCAGAACGCGTCATCTCCTGCTGCCGTGGTGGTGGTAATGGTGCTGACGGTTCATACGCTGGCTGCTGAGGGACGATAGCAGGTTGAGCGGTATTGGCAAGCCCAGGAGCCACGTCCTGTGACGATATTTCTAATGGCACTAACCTTTGGATCGGCCTCAACAGGGTACTGGTACTCAACTTAACCTTGGCAACACGACGCTTACCATCTCGACCAGGGAATAACTCGATGATCCGTCCCAAACGCCAGAACTGTTTGCGCTTGGTATCATCGAGAACAAAGACAACATCACCCACAGCTAAAGGGCGCGACATGGTCTGTTGGTGCTTGTTCAGCTGACTTAGGTACTCCACCTCCCAACGATTCTTGACATGCTCCAGTGTCCGACTGAGGTAACACAATCTCGATGACATCTGCGCAGCGTCCAGGGTACCTGCTGGCTTCTCTGACGACATCCAGATGTTACCCATCATCATTGCAGGGGTTACCGGTGGCTCATCCAGGCTATCAGAGAAATAATTTAGCGGACGACTATTCACCACTGCTTCAACCTCATACAAGAGGGTCTCCAGCTCCTGGACCTTCAGAAACGCTGTTCCCATTACCTTTTTCAAGGCACTCTTCACTGTACCAACCATTCGCTCATAGAAGCCTCCATGCCATGGTGCAGCTGGAGGATTGAACATCCATGGCACATTCAGTTTGTCAGATGCCGCCTTGAACGTTGTAGCGTTGTCCGACCTGATCCGAGACGGCAAACTACGTCTCGCGACAAACTTCCGAAATGCTATCAAGAATGACTCAGTACTTAAACTATCGACCACCTCCAAGTGAACTGCTCTGGTGGTGGCACACACAAACAATGCTATCCATACCTTCGGAGATGACTCACCACGGCGCACGTACAACGGACCAGAATAGTCGATGCCGGTAGTTGCGAACGGCCTCTCGTGAACAACTCGGTCTTCTGGCAGTGGCGGGCAGACTTCTGAGGCAGCCTTAGCCTTGTAGCGGCGGCATGTAACACATCGCTGAGTAATGTTGCGTAGCGCTCGTCGACCACCGATAATCTAGAATTTCTGACGGATGAACGACAAGACTCCTTCTACACCTTGGTGCATCCTTTCAACATGCATTTTCTCCAGCAGCAACTCGGTCAGATGATGTTTGCCTAACAGGACTGGGTGCTTGGCTCCATACGCCAACTCGCTGTGCTGAAGTCGTCCCCCGGCTCTGAGCACTCCATGCTCACCCAGAAACGGTGCAAGCTGATACACCTTCGACCAAGGCTTCACTGGTTGACCTTGCTTGATCAGCTCAAGATCCTCAGCGAAATATGCGGCTTGAACGATACGGTACAATACGTTGTCTGCTGCAAAATAGAGTTCAGCACGACGCTCAGTGTGCTCCCACTGCAACATCCGAGTCACCATGCCCTGTGCCCTCGACCGTTTACTGAATCGGAGCCACCATTCCTTATCAGATTCTCGACTACAGGTGGTGGCTTACACTCGTACTTCTACACTGGACTCATCTGTAGCTGCGGTTGAGGATGCGGTGGGCCAGTCATTGGGCTCCGTGATCCAGGTTGGTCCGCCCCTCCAGAACGGACTACGGATCTGCTGTGCACTACTCCCACACGACGGTAAATCTGCTGGGTTGTGAAGGCCCGGGCAATGGTTCCACACAATGCCGACCTTCTTCGATATCTCTTGGACTTGACTGCGGTTAGCCACAAATGTTTTCCATTTGTACGATGGATTACTGATCCAATTAACGGTAGTGAGACTGTCAGTCCAGCCATAGACTTGCGTGACGGTAACACGCATCTCCTTCACCACAAACTCAGCGTAGCGAACCGCTAGACATACTGCTTGTAACTCAAGGCGGGCCAATGTGGGTGGAGACACGGGTGCCACTTTGGCCTTGGCAAATACCAAGTGCGACTGTCCATTGACGACTGCATACAAACAACATCCAAACGCTTTCTCACTGGCATCGGCGAAGGCATGAAGCGCAATCCGCGTGTCAAGATTGCAGCAAATCCAACGTGGTATGTCAATGCTCACCACTTCGGCCAACTCTCCCCACCATTGCGCACATGCGGCTGCGATGCCATCAGGCAACTTATCATCCCAGTCGCCTCCGACTTTCCAGGCTTGCTGTAGCAGTATCTTTCCCGGCACAACTGCCGGTGCTGCTAGACCTAGCGGATCAAACACTGACGCAACACACTTGAGGAGGGATCGCTGGGTCCAAACAGACGGCCTATCGGACTCGCCTAGCGCTGCTATGCTGAGCAAGTCATCACTGGTTTTCCATTTCAGACCGAGGACTTTATCTCCTGCCTCTGGATCGCACGGGATTTCGTTGCCTTGCTACTTGCGTAACTCCATGCCAGCATCCGTAAGCACACGCACGCTGAACTCTTGCATCTCCTTGGCTTCCGAGGCATTTGAGACACTAGAGACCAAATCGTCAACGTAGAAACTCGTGAGCAAGAGATCAATACGATCTCGCTCTTTGGGTGCAGACAACGCCCGTAGCTCCTTCAAGTGATGCTGAATCAGGGAGTAGTACAATACCGGGAGATGACACGGGCACACATCCAGACGGGCGAGCTTTGCCTCAGGTCACTTTTCTGTGGAGCGCTGTGTCCCCTGAAACGTCACGAAATGTCGTACTTTGCGTACCTTTATCGTTGCATTTCGTAGCATTTTCAAAATTTTTCATAGAACCACTTCAAGAGAGTGCCAGAATGCTGTCAGGAAGTTTTCGAGCAGTACTTTTTGAAGTTTGTTTTGACGATGAAGGGAAGGAATCCATCAGTCTTTGCTGAGTGATGAGGATGAATCCTACGAAGGATATCAAGTAGCAGCTGGCCTTCGCACGGGTACCTTCAGTGTGTCCAGTATTTACGTGGGCGGCTTGTAAGAGTGAATTTTTCTTCCTAATTTAATTTGTATTACTTTTAGTTATTCACGTCGTTTCTAGGGGAATAGATAATGTTGACGCAAGTTTTAGTCGCAATGAACGACATGTTTCAGGTATGGCTGACCCGTATGGCTGACCCGTCTCAAGATAGTAAGACTATTCCGAATCCAGATGCTATAGTCGTCTGAGTGAAACACAAAATAAAATTAATTTTATACTGCTGAGACAACTAGCTATTCGCAAATGTCACTATGACGCATGTCTGTGTCAAGCAAGGAGTAGCACAATGATACAGTGGTATTGTGCTACTCCCTGCTACAAAGCCTGAGATGTTACGCGTTAACAGGAACTGGTGTTGATGATAAAGGCAGTGCGGAATTATGTACATTGTTACTGGTGCAAGTAACCATGCCGTGTAAGTCATGTATGCAGGTAATCAGACCAAGCGTAAAAGGATAAAGATAGCCTGCTTATGTACTACTAGTACGTGTGCTTATTATAGATACTTTGTGTGACTACTAGTTGTATGTGTCTGCATATTACTATACGTAATAGTACGTAATTGCTTTTACTACAATTTGTACTTTGTGGGGAGCTGCGTGACGATGAAATATGGCCACCAAGAGCGTACGCAATCAGAATCGTACAATATCATTACGTAGAGGATATAACCCGAGT